GTGTGTCTGTGTGTGTGTATGTGTGTGTGTGTATGCGTGCTACAGCTTTTCAAGTGCCTAACAGCAGAGCCTGTTCTCACCTAGTGTGTGTGTGTGTGCATATGTTTATGTAAACAGTCCTTATTTCCCACGTATGTACTACATATGTATTGCATATGTACCCGATCTCTTGGTTCCCACTGTACTGTCTTATGTGTTTAAAATTACGTTCAAAAATAAATACACTAGGCTTCGCCTGTATGCCGCTACCTCTAAATTCTATTAAATGCCAGTAAATGCTGCTTATTCTAATTCTGTTAGCTTGAGGAGAGTTACCCCCAATTCCAGCTAGAGACAGGTACTATTGACCCCATGCAACTCAAACTAGGTGAATATTACTTGCGGCTGGCAGTGGAGTAACATTGCGGGTCCGTCCTGTCCCAGAAGTTGAAGATGCTTGATGCTTCTCGGTAATTTTTCCACTAACTTCCTGTATGCACTATAGTCTCTAGCTCATCTAATTTTTCCACTCACTCACTGTATTTACTGGCACATCTATACATATCTCTTATCTCCCTGGTCTTGAGTCGCACTTATTCTTCAAATACCCCACTGCGTTATTATGGCAACACTATTTAGGCCTGACACAACCGTTCACCTTCCTTCCAACGGCCCCCACTGAATACTTAGTCACTATTTCCTTTGTTTTCTTTTCTGTGATCACTTATATTTCCTTTTTTCGGGGCTTAAGTGATTATATGCACTCTTATGCGTGCACACACCTATATCCCACACTCTATTCCTTATGGCACAGTCAGAAATTACCACCAAAACACGAGCTCAAACCGCGTGACTCCTCCACGAGTGTGTGTGTGTGTGTGTGTGTGTGTGTGTGCGTGCGTGTGTGTGTGTGTGTGTGTGTGTGTGTGTGTGTGTGTGTGTGTGTGTGTGTGTGTGTGTGTGTGTGTGTGTGTGTGTGTGTGTGCGTGTGTGTGTGCATGTAGGAGAAGAAAGCATTCAAACAGCTCCAGGGAGAATCTTGAGTTTTCCATGAGGTACGTTTATTGTCTTCTCTTAGCATGAGGGTTCTCCGTAAAGTTCTAGAAGTGGTACCTTCATATATATATATATATATATATATATATATATATATATATATATATATATATATATATATATATATATATATAATATATATATATATTATTTATATATATGTCGTGCCGAATAGGCAGAACTTGCGATCTTGGCTTAAATAGCAACGCTCATCTTGCCATATAGGACAAGCGATAATTTGTGTATGCAATAATTTCGCCAAAATCATTCTGAACCTAACGAAAAAAAATGTATTTCATAGTGTTTGTTTAGAATTAAATTATTGTAAACAAATCTAAAATATATTTAGTTGGGTTAGGCTAAAATAAATTGTTCTTGTTATAATAAGGTTAGGTAAGTTTTCTAAGATTCTTTAGGTGCAAAATTAAAATTTTTTACATTAACATTAATGAAAAAAATGTATCTTTAAGCGTATAAGACAAAATTTTAGAAAGGACTTAATTTTAAATGAGTTTCTTGCTAATTGACCAGTTTTACATATTCGGCACGACATATATATATATATATATATATATATATATATATATATATATATATATAATATATATATATATAATATATATATATATATATATATATATATATATATATAATATATATATATGCCATAAGATCACAGTAAACAGCTGATATCAGAATATGCAAAACAACCAGGTAATCCAGTCAGATTAATTATTAGCTCCATAGGATCAGTTTCATATAAATTATCCAAATGGTTTGTCAGCATTTTGAGCCCTATTGTTGGTAAAATTTCTAACTTTAATGTTAAAAACAACATAGATTTAGTTGATAAATTACGCTCCTTTGCTGACTTAAATGATTCTAACATGGTTAGTTTTGATGTTACTTCCTCGTTTACGAAAATTCCTGTTGATGATTTATTAAGTTTCTTGTCTGAAGAACTTGTTAGTTATGATTTACCATTGCCAGTTCCTACTATCATTAAACTTATTAAACTTTGCATTGTTGATGTGAAATTTGTATTTAATGATAAGTTTTACTCTCAGAAGTTTGGTATGGCAATGGGAAATCCTCTTTTACCTGTTCTCTGTAACCTATATCTGGAATTTTTTGAAACAAGACTGCATAACACAGTCCTCGCTAATAGAGCTAAATGGTTCAGATATGTTGATGATATTTTGTTTTATGCCAAAGAATATAGATACACTATTTTATCATTAAATTAAATAGCTTAACCCATTTTATAAACTTTACTGTTGAGTTTGAGGAAAATAACTCATTGCCTTTTCTACATGTTTTAATTATTAATTAAGGGTAATAATGAATTCGAATTTAAAATTTACAGAAAACCTACAAATAACTGTTCCTACGTACACTATTATTCTTTACATCAAGATAAAGTTAAACTGTCTAATTTCTCATCAATGTTTTTGAGAGCTTTGCGTATTTGTAGTCCAGAGTTCATAGATGAAGAAATATATCAAATTTATGAAATAGCTAATGATCTGAAATACCCAAGAAACGTAACTGATAAATCTTTTAAAATTGATAGAAATACTTTTTAC